GGAGGCTGCACCAGGTCGGTTGATTGATGCCTCGGTCGGCGTCACGTGCATCATGCGTTACATCTCCTCCGTCATCATTACACCGTCTCACCTCTTTTATTCAATTATATTCGCCTCGTACTCGTTCGAGTAAAATTTCGATTTCCACGACCGTCGCAGCGCTATCTGCTCTGCCCTTTTCTCCTCCGCACTGACTTTTCCTCGTAGGGTAGTACGGCCGGTCAGGAATATATTTGACCACGTCGTCGCCTCTGACTCGACTCCCCCGGCGGGAGAGATTGGGTACGTTCCCGGGTCGGATGTGAGGGGATCGGGGAGGGGAGGGGAGGGGAAGGGAGGGGGTGACGTGAAAGGGCAGGCATGTGGCCGACTTGGCAGCCGGCGCGGCCCGTCCTTATCTAGCGCTAGGCCCCTTCGTCCCTTTCATTCGACCACATGTGCTTATTCCTATGATTTGCAGGAGGCGGTGGCTGGAACAGCGGCGGCGGCGGCGGCGGTGGCGGCTGGCAGAGGGGCGGCGGCGGCGGCGGCGGCAACAGCTTGTCCTCGGGCTGGTCTAGGTGAGCCTGGGCTGGGGCCAGCAGCGGGGGTGGTGGTGCTGATGGTTTGGGCAGGGCGGGGCGGGGCGGGGCGGGGCGGCAGACCTTCCACATTCATTTAGCGGCTGGAGCGCGGTGGGCGGGGCCGTGGCCGTTAATGCGTCCGTTCTCATTAGTGTGGTTTGCCTTTGCCTGTTCCCAGCGGCGGCGGCAGCGGCGGTTATGGGGGCGGCGGCGGCGGCCACGGCGGCGGCAGCGGCGGCGGCTGGCAGTCCGGGTGAGTTGTGGCGGCATCAAGTGCGCGCGCCCCGCGCTGTCCTGTCCAGCCCGCGCTTCTGCTCAGCGTCCTCCCTGGGGGAGGATCGGTCGCTCCCCTGCGAGTCAACGTCGGCCCTCCCCGACACGGGGGAGGGGCACTGCGTCGCGGCGATACCCCCCGCGGCTGGAGAGCGCCGGCGCGAAGTAGCGCCGTCGGCTCATCGCCTCCCCTCCGCCACTCTCCCCGCTCTCCCCCCGGCTCTCCCCCGACAGCACCTTGTAAAAGTGTCACGCCGTCGTCGATCGGGGAAGTCCCTCTTTGCGTGCGACGGCAGCGCGCCCGGGCGGCTGGCGGTGCGAGGGCGCCCCCCGACATCGCCTTCCTTCCGCCTCGCCTTCGACCTGCGGCAGCGTCGTCGTCCTGGAGTGGCAGGTCCGCGGATAAAGCGAGAGTGACGGGCGAGGCCGAGGGGCGGGCGGGGCCGGCGGCTGGGGCGGCATTCAATGCTATCGCCCTCCAGGGAGGGGAGCGAGGGTCCGAGGACCTGGGAATCTCACCCCCACACCCCAAGACCCTGGTACCCCAGCGCCCAGGACCCCAACACTCCAGGAACGCAGGGCAGGATCCCGACCCCCGTAAAGCAAACCCCAAACCCCAGCACCCCAGTGCCTCAGGAACCCAAACGCTAACGGACGTGTACTTCTTGTTGCAGCGGAGGCTCTGGAGGCCACGGCGGCGGCGGCAGGGGCTGGCAGTCCGGGGGCGGCTCCGGGGGCGGCTGGAAGTCGGGCGGCGGCGGCGGCTCCGGCGGCGGCTGGAAGTCCGGTGGGGGCGGCGGCGGCTACGGCGGCGGCGGCAACTCTGGCTGGAAGTCCGGCGGCGGCTCACGTGGATTCGGCGGCGGCTCCAGTGGCTGGAAGTCCGGCGGCGGCGGCGGCTTTGGAGGCGGCAACTCCGGCTGGCAGTCCGGCGGAGGCGGCGGCGGCTATGGAGGCGGCGGCCACGGCAGCAGCGGCGGCGGCAGCAGGGGCTGGCAGTCCGGGGGCGGTAGCGGCGGTTACGGGGGCGGCCACGGCGGCAGCGGCGGTGGCAGCAGGGGTTGGCAGTCCGGCGGCGGCTCTAGCGGCTGGCAGTCCGGAGGCGGCGGCGGCGGCAGCAGGGGCTGGCAGTCCGGCGGCGGCGGCGGCTACGGAGGCGGCGGCCACGGCGGCAGCGGCGGCGGCAGCAGAGGCTGGCAGTCCGGCGGCGGCAACGGCGGCGGCTGGAGCTCGGGAGGCGGTGAGTAGTGTGGAATCTGGAAACGGGATGCAAACACAACGCTTGTTCTCCTACAGAGCATAGAGTCGTGGAACAGGGTCGAGAGTCGGACGGGCTGATTGGTTGAGTCAATACGCCGGAGCGAGCAGCTCGCACGCCCCCCCCC